TTTTAATAATTTAGAATTTTTTCCCTTTTTTTTTTTTTTTTTTTGGGGGGGGGGGGGTGGGGGGGTTGAGCAGAAACAGTAATGCTAATAATTTAAGGGATTTAAATCTTATTCACAATCAATAATAAAAAAATAATTCCCTTAACAAATACTCAAACATCTCTAACATCTAGTCAACAGTACGATATAAAATAGTTTAGACTTTTTTCTACTGTATTTTATTTCAAAATAAAAGCCTCTCTCTGAAACCAGAGGGAAAAAACAGTCAGCTATAAAAATTTTACAATTTAAGAGACAAGAAAAGTGTTTAAACCAGGATGTCTATGAAAATGTATTCTGAAAATATTAGTTGCGCATGTGATGAATTTACATCAGAATCAATTTTAATTATTAAATGAATAAATAACGCTGAAGATTTGAGTTATAGATTAATTTTGAGCAAGCGTGCAACTGATTTGTGGTTGTAGTTCCAGCAGTCATCCAGCAGATGGCGGTGTTTGCTGGGTTTGTTTGCGCTGTTTGAACTACTGACTGGCAATGTCACAAATATGACAACAAAAATATGCAGATATGAACTGTGATCAAAAATAATTTATTTTTTCACTATTTTTAAATTACAGAGGAACATCTGAGCTTCAGCTCTAGCTGTTTCCAGTGTATGAAACAAGTTAGTGCAGTTTCACATTTATGATGCACTTTCGTAATTCCTGGTTGAAAACTTGATGTTTCCATGAAGGAAAATCAATAGTTTGGTCATTTATTCAACTGAGCCTTTCATAAAATCAATGAATGAGACTATCAAATATATTTTACATCATCAGGTGTTTCAATCTGTTCTGTCCCCAGGAGTTTACTTCCATTTTTAACATTTTGAATAAACTATTAGTGTGAATAATTTACATGTTTATTATGTTTAAAGCTCATTTGACCCCTTGTCACTTTTTTATTATTATTTTCAGGGTCAGAAGGAGTTATTAGACACTTTTATGTTAGTTTCTGTGATGTTTGTTTAACTTGAGTTAGCTTCAGTTCCTCTTTTTTATTTTAAACACTATTTATTTGTGCATCTTTGTTTCCAGAGCTCCCTTGTTTGTGGTTTGATATCTAGCATCTCTTTTTAGATGTCCTTTGTTTACCTTTTCATTTTTATTTTATTAAAAGCTAACTATACTTCCAGGTTTTGAATGACATGATTTCCATCGAACACGGTAAATTCCTTGTTATGTTTTATTGGTTGTCTGTTATTTTTTTATTTAATATTTTATTTTCCTCATTCAGCTCATTGTGGTCTTTTAGGTTTTTCTCTGAAAGTCTTTACTGAACACAACAATGTGTTTTAGGATGTTAAATATTTTTAGTTTAAACTCACAATTCACAAAGCAAAAACATCAAGCATTAAAGAATCTGAAAAATACACATATATATCATAAAATAAAAAGTCAGAACAGAATTTAAACTGCCTAAAAATCTGGTTCAATTCAAACTATGCATAAAGAGCAAAATCTCCTGTTCCTTTTAAGGTAAATTTCCTGAACTGAAGGATTAATTTCCTCTGCTTTTATGACTCTGGCCTCACCAGTTACCATCTCATTCCCCAAGCCTTTTTAAGCTTGAACCTTCAGTAGCTGCTTCCTCCTAGAGCTGCTGCATTGTCATAATGAGACGTGCTGCTTAGGGCCAGAAACTGACATTTGCTCTACACGTCACTGCAGATAGTTACCAAAGTTTGATCTTAGTCAAGTTTTTGATCAGGAAGATGAATTATGCAACTTCCTGGACCTGAAACAGCAGCAAAGTTGACTGTTGCTGACAAGTTGGTGAGAATTTCCTTTCACTTGTCCTTTAAGAATCATTTATATTTAAGAAATGGATTAGGTCCCAATACCGAACCTTGTGGCATCCCATAAGTTAATTAGAAGCAGACATTATCTGATTTACATAAAATGCTAAAGTAATTTTTAAATTATTCCAGATAATCCAAATAAATCTTTACAATCTGATGAAGAACCCTTCTTTTCATCATCCTGTGGGTTTTAAATATTTTGTATTTCAAGGATTTTCTGGGTTATATGTAGTGAAAAATCACATGAATTTACATTTCTGAAGTTGAAATCAGTAAAATTAACAGAATAAAATGCCCAAAATGTCCATTTATTGTTACTGCTCACTTATTGTTGCAGGATTATGTTATGTTTCATTTACCAAAGTTTTTAGTGTGTGGAGGATGAAAACTACTGCATGTTTTCCTTATTATCAACCCTGGTGTGGTATGTTTCCTCCTGAAAATGAACAAATGAAATTAACATGTTTTGGATTTGTTGAATGCAAACCCTTGAAATCAACAAGGAACAAGTTCTAGTTTCACTTAAAATATGGGAAAATGTATTGTTATAAGTGAAATAACCAGTGGAAATGGTATTCTTCATAAAGATTAAGGATTTATTGACTTAAAACAAGCTCTTTTATCTTACTGAAATTTTACTTGTAAGTTAGTTTTGTCTTATTTCAAGTGTCACAGGACGAAAAATGGGATTTTCGGCAGCTATTGACACCTTGTTCTGCCGTGCGCATGGAGAGGCTTTCGGCAAGAGGTTTTTGTCAGAGTCGAACACTGCCAAAAATGGTCAAAAATGCAGTTTGTCCGTGTTCCTCTCTCCCCTTGTGCCTAGCAGAGGTTTTTGAATTTAAATGAAGTTGCTGAGTGCCATGCAAATGCAAATCAACTGTTGAGCACTGCCTTTTGACTTTTATTTTATAGCTAACCCTTGTTACCATAAAGAACCTTGTTCACCATTTGGAGAAAGAATATTAAAACAATCTATCTTATCCATTAAAATATATATTGCATGTGTGTTAAGAGCACTGAAAAACTTAGTTTTTGTTTAATTGATGATATGAAAGAAGAATATGCATGAGGAAGGAGGTGAGAAGTTCCTGGTTTTGAAGTGAAAGAAGAAGAGAAGCGAAGTTAGAAACCAGCAGCAGCTCAAGATGAAGGTCAATGTAATCTGCCTCTTCTTCCTCAGTGAGTACATTTGATTTAATCTCCTGTTGATTATTCACCTCAGTTTCCCTGATTATTGATCAGTATCTGCAGCTGATAAATTTTTTATCAGCCTTTCACCTGTTGTGTGTCTGACATGTTTCTGTTTTTTGTACTAAAATTGGTGTTAAGTTGGAGATACAGTTTTCTGAACTTGCAGCCCACATTTTAATATTCTGAGCTGTTAGAAAAAAAGACATTGGTTAAGTTAGTTAATCTGCAGATTTGTAAATTTATGGTTATTTGAACATTGAGATGATGAAGAAACATTTTTATTTTGATATTTTTTAAAGAGCATAAGACATGTATACATTCTTCTTTTTGAGCAAACATCACTTATAAGCAGTCGAAGACAAAAAGTTTGTTGAGAATGAAAAGGGTTTTCAATAAAAAAATATACTTTGAAAGCATTTAAACTAATCTCATGCATTTATTGTAACCAAGTACACAGTTTCACTTTTTGATGTTTTATTTATTTATCCTGCTACGTTGGTGCAGGTTAGTTTAACCGGTTTGCATTCGTCTCTTAGTGATTGAAAAGTTCTCCACAAGTAAATCCAGTCATGTTTTTAAAAGTGAAGAGAAGTGAATCTCACTCAGTCTGGTTGGTAAAATACTTTCAGTGAGTCTTTGCTGTTTGTCTTTGCAGCACAACTGCAGAATGGAGAAGTTGAATCTGTTCGAGGAAGAACCTACACAGAGATGGAAGGAAAAAACATCACAGTTTCATGTTCATTTACCTTCACTGGGCGTAGAATGTACTTCTGTAAGACAGACTGCAGCAGAGACAATATTCTTATTGAGACGACTGATTACAGAGCACAGAGTGGCAGATACATCATTGAATTTAACAGAACAGGTTTTGCAACACATGTTGTTTATGTGAGCATTATGGAGCTGAAAACGTCTGACTCTGGAAGGTACAGATGCGCTTTGGGTAGAACCGGGATTCGACACAATGATTTTAAAATCTTTGTCATCTCTGGTGAGTTTTTGTCAAAGCAATTTACACCAAATATCAAGAAAAAAAAAACAAAGGATGAACCAAAATTTAAATGCTACAGAAATGTACCTTATTTACTGTACAGAGATCTGGGGCAACAATTACAAAACTACGACAGTCTGTTAACAATACTATAAAAAATACCAGTAAGAAAAATCCATAAGGCGGGATATTTGGAAAACACTGAGTCAGTATCTGTGCAATTTAAATTATTAAAATAAATTGACTTAGTGAATCTACTGACATGACTAAGTTAAGGAGTTTAAAATATGCAAATTAAAAACAAAAACAATTTTGTGTGTCAGGAAATGGAATCACACTGTGCAATAATTTGATTATTGAACTTAGACAATGTCCAAACTGTTCAAATGATTATTGCTTTATGTAATATACAATAGTTTTAATTTTTTTTTAAAAATAATGATTGCTCATCCACTTTATTTACAATTAAATAGATACTATACTGAAGGGTTAACTATTAAATAAAAGTGTAGTTGTTATTTGTATGGATTATAGTAAATGTAAGATTATAGGTGGAAAAGGTTTGGGAATATTGATAAGTTAATACTTCCACCCACTCCCTTGATTATATGACATTATGTTTCATACTTTATTTTTTTTGTACATATTCAAAAAACAAATTCACAAACAAACTATAATTTTTAAGGAGTGTGGTATTTGCCTTTATATGCTGAGGTCTCAGTTCAAGTTGGGTGAAAGCCAAGCATGGAAATATTTAGCTCCTCATTCGTTGAAGCAGCTCAGAAAACATTGAATTAGTTAAAAGAAAAACCTGAGACATTTTGTTTCTCCAAACATTTAAGTGCAATAGTTCATATTTAGGATTTATTTGGTTGCACTGCTGAAAATGTAATTGGTCTGTTGTGTGTTTTGTTAACCTTTTGACATTCGTGTAGAAATTTGACGTTTGCTGTCATGTTCGCGAGGACACTTCAAGATAAAATTAATATGAAAAATGAGAAACTGAACACTTTATCCATGATGCAGGAACAGTAATAAAAATATAAACTTACTGCTTATTAAAAACACAAAACTATAATTATTTATCTCCAATCAGCTTCCCCAACAGCAAAAACATCAACAGGGAGTCAGAGCTTCTCTTCTTCTCCTCCTTTCTCCTCTGAAACCACCAAACAGTCCAGCTCATCAGCGCCACCTTCAGGTACGAAACCTGTTCATATCTGCAGCTTTTCAGAGACGATGTGACTCTGTTCAACTCTAAATGTCCCTGCAGGGGTTCTGCTTTCTGTCGGTGTGGTTCTGACCATCATGGTCATCATTTTGGCTGCAGCTCTTCTGGTTTTCTTCAAACACAGAAAAAACAAGCAGCATGAAGGTGAGTTTCAAGATCCTAACATCACTTTAGGAGAAAATGCATTGAATTGACTCTCACTGCTACGGACTGACTGGAACTACCAGTTTCTGCTGCCCATTATCAAACATATTAAGATATGTTTAATGGTATTATTGTTATTTCCTAAGTTAAGCAATAATCTAGTCAGAGTTTTAGCTCCTCATTTGCTCTTAACCTTCCAGAGTGCTTTTATAATTTGGACTTTGATCCTTCAGTTTGCAGAACCACTTTTTGTTGCAAATCCAGCTGTTAGTGTTTCTTGCAGTAAGTCTTTCCCAGTCAGACATGGATATGTTAGAAATATTAAATATTAAATATTAAATCAGCTCTAAAGGCCAAGTTTGTGCACAGAAACAAGGGATTTGACTTTGGTTCCACACAGAAGTTGCGCTAGACTGTTTTGTTGTCTGTCATTTTGAGTAATGACGTCAAAAACATCACATCATTATCAATTTACCTGTCAGTTTTTGAAATGATAATAATTACAT